TGACTTTACATTATGTTCTTTGAACCACAAATGGGTTATTTTACATTTTTTGTCTGTTGTTTTACTGTTTTATTCTGTTGATGTATTTTTGTTAGAAGTAAGTTGTGCTCAAGGATATTCTTCTGATTTATCAGGCTACTGTTTGTGGTGTATTTTGAATTTGAGCTTGGTTTAGTGGGGCAAGTCACCTCTGAGTCTGATTAACTGAAATTATCCAGACAGAATTGCAGGATTGGGCCAGCTCAGCAGCAGTGATATTAGCTCTTGTGATGGAGCCCAGATTCTTAAGAGAACAAATTACAAGTGTCTCACTCAACCAAAGAGTCATAGGAGTACTGAATAGCTTTTAAATATTTCAGGAATGCAAATAACTAAATAAACTTACCCAAATACTGGGGGAGTGCAGTTTAGTTTTGTGTTACTAGCAAATTTTGCCCATTCAGATGGTAGGATGGGGGAAAAGCACCCAAACAGTGCCTGTAACATTTACATATCATCTCAAAAAGACATTCAGAGAGCATCATGTTAGTAGTACATTTAAAAAAAAAAAAAAAAATCACTTGCCCATACATATATGCAATTAATTTGTGTAGTCCAAGAGCCTAATTTCAACCTCGCTGATGTTTTTTGTTCCTTGAAAGATCACGGCCCAGCTTTATTTCTGAATTGCAGCACATTTAAACAGCAAATGGCAACAGGTGACCTGGAGCAAAGATCCAGTTTTCAGATGGGATTTTTAATAACTGACAAGAAGGAAAGTAAGAACAGAATAAATAATGGTAGGTATGATTTTCAGTGGTTCATTTGCTTCGTACATGGACCATCCTGCACACACAAGTGGTAATCGTTAAATGTTAATAATGAACCAAAGGCAAAATCAGGCACCAAATAACTAAATCTCCGGTGCAGAAAGCATGCATCAGGATCAGCAAAGGAATATGGAAAAGAAGCCAGGGCAGAGAGCCTGAAGCAGTCACTCACGTTGTAGAAATTGCCTTTTGGTGATGGCGGTGGCTTGCCCTTGCCTCCACGCCAGGCCAGCTGCCTAGCATTTTCATGACCTTGATCTGGAAGGTCTAGTAAGTCTGTTTTATACTTGAGAGGGGAAAAACCGATTCCTTTAGTAAGAAATCCCAAGAAGAGCTGGCCAGATGTGAATGAAATCCGTGTTTTTCAGCCACCCTGCTCCTCCACCCGCCC